TGTCTGTGTGTGTGTCTGTGTGTCTGTGTGTCTGTGTGTGCGTGTGTCTGTGTGTCTGTGTGTCTGTGTGTGTGTGTGTGTGTGTCTGTGTCTGTGTGTGTGTCTGTGTGTGTGTGTGTGTCTGTGTGTGTGTGTGTGTGTGTGTGTGTGGAGTGTCTGTGCTGCTGCAGGGCAGGGCTGCAGGCTCAGGGAACACCTGCCCCAAACATCAAATGCCACAGTGCTGATTAGAAAATAGTGCCTTAAAATTAAATTTATTGTTATTATTATTATTATTATTATTGACATTATTGACATTAACATTATTATCATTATTATTAACATTATTATCAGCATTATTATTATTAAATCATTATTAACATTATTATTAACAATGTTATTAACATTATCAACATTATTATCAATATTATCATTATAATTATTATCAATATTATAATTATTAGCATTATTATTATCATCATAATAATTAATATCATTATTATTATACTATTATACTGTTATTAAATTAATTTAATATTTAAATAAAATTAATATTAATAAAATAATAAACATACAAATTATGTATAATTATTATATAATTATTAGATATATGATTAATCTATTATGATAAACATGTAATTACAGTATATAAGTATAAATTATGTATAATTATGATACAGAATCAATATTTTTTATCACATATATATTGTATAGTGCATATACATTGCTACATTATATAGTATATATTCTATATTACATGCTATGTATGTGATATATATAAAAACTATATTTCACATAACTATATATAATATATATTATCTATTATTTTACATACCATATATTCTAATGGTGTATATTATTAGTATGTTGTATATTATCAGTATATGGTACATTGCACATTATATACTCTTACAGAGCAAAAACTGTATGTTTTACATAACTATATATATAATATATATTATATATTACTTTACATACCATATATTCTAATAGCGCATATTATTAATATATTGTATATTATCAGTATATGGTACGTTGCACATTATATACTCCTACAGAGCGCCATTCTAAGGATGTATGTTAATATATAGATGAAATAAATGGAGTTGCCCATGTGTAAACAGCAGCATTTCCATCCCCATGGGGTGTTTTGCAGCTCTGGCGATTCGACAGCGCGGATATGGAACCTCAGTGAGAACAGCACGAGCGGCTCCACGCAGCTGGTGCTCCGGCACTGCATCCGGGAAGGGGGGCAGGATGTGCCCAGCAACAAGGACGTGACATCGCTGGATTGGAACGTAAGTGCTCCAGATGCTCCCAGGAAAACCCTGCTCACAGCACCTCGTGCCGTCAGACTTTGTGACAGCAGCGGTGTCCTCCATGGCAGAGCTCAATATTTCTGTTTTGAGCAGTGTTGTAACTTCTGCTGTACTTTTGGAACTTCTTTCTAATGAGTTGCGATCAGTGAAACTGAATGTCGTAAATCCTATGCCAATTCTACCTCAAATTTGCTTTGTGCTCTTTAGCTTTGAGTTAAGCAGTAAAAATGAATAAATAAATAACCTCTTTGCTGGCAGAGTGAAGGTACACTTCTAGCAACTGGGTCTTATGATGGCTTTGCAAGGATATGGACTAAAGATGGTAAGCAAAATACTTCTTAATTTACGATATATTTTCCTGTATTGTGGCTCACGGCATAGTTTTTTATTTTTTAATGTATTCATATCAATATAAATTTTCAGGTAATCTTGCCAGCACCTTAGGGCAACATAAAGGTCCTATATTTGCGTTAAAATGGAACAAGAAAGGAAACTTCATTTTAAGTGCAGGAGTGGACAAGGTGAGATAATCTTTGGTAAAATTAAAATTCTTTCCTTCACCGTTATAATCTAACTGTAAGCAAAATAGAAAAACTATGCAAAGTAAGTAAATGAAACCAAAGGCATGGGATGTAAATATGTGCTTACAAAGATCTTGTTATGCTTAGTTATGTTTCCTTGGGTTTTATAGTAGCAGTTTATTGAGACATTTTAATTTCCTAGATTTCAATGTCTGTGGATTTCTTCCCATTTAGGTTAGTCTGAGTTGGAAAATAAGTGTATTGAAACCAGAAACATGAAACCTTTGTAAAACCTAATCCTAATTCAGTGAACCACTACATGCAAAGCCTCAGGAAAAAAAGAATTGTACTAGAGGGATAGATTCAGGCTGAGTTGGATATCAGTCAAACCTAAGAATGATTATAAAGATTAGAGCTGGAACATAAGGAAAGTTGATATATGTGACTGGGGAGGTGCCAGTTGTGTAATGCCATGGAGCTCATTGTTTGACTGTGTTTTATTTCACCTCTCTAAACAAATTCAGGTTTACAAGGTCTTTCAGTTCAGAGCTGCTGTTTATGTGAGAGGTTTTATTTATGAATGATAGGAAGGGCAAAGACTGATGGGAAATGTACTTAAAGTGAATTCAGAGAATCAAATAGACTATTGCAAGAGTAAGGAGAGTTGATTTTTTCCTCTGTAACTGATTCAAGGTGCAGAAGTCAGCACAGGTTTTCTCCTAGTGAGAGTGGCAAACTGCAACCTCAGTACAACCACTTAAAACTGGCAGTGTCACTGTAAAGTAGTAAATTTTCTCCTTTGTTTTTTTTGGGGTTTTTTTTTTCCCTGCATGCATTTACTTGGTATGCTTTATTAGCCAGCTTTATAAATGCTTGTGCTGGCACAAAGGAAGGAAAATTTAATCTATCAAAGCATGGAAAGGATGTGTTTACTCTTTTGGCATCTGTGATGGTTATGCCATTTTTTAAATATTTGTGGAGGCACAACTTTCGTTTGCAGGAAAATAATGAAGGAAGAAATAGAAACGTCATTTCAGTCAATAAAACTTCTTAAACAAACTGAGATTATGCTTTGGAAAATATTCTGCTTTAGCAGAGAGAATGACCCAACCTTAGGTCCCTTTTCCATAATTATTTTGTGTGATCAGTTCATGCTTCCATGGAGTTCGGTGTCAAAATTTTCACTGATCATTGAGGTAGGGCAGGGATGTTGGCATATAATACACTGATGATATGATACTAATTCTGTCACTTAAGATTTCTTTAACCTTTCAGAAGGTTATGAAAGTATTGGCAGAGAACAACATAGAATAAAATTACACCCTTAAATTTTTCAGCATGTGACTAATTGCTAATAACATCTCCTTAGGAACAAGTGAGTAGCTGATACTACAATTTGAATATGCAAGTATTTGAAATTAAAATAGGTGTGTGGAATGGATTACAAGAATATAAATAGGACTAAGAGGATAAAACTGTTTAAAAGCCCACAAATTCCTTCTTCCCTCTAGACCCCAAAATGTTGTGGCTAAACACCTTTCTAATGCAGTCTTAAATTATCTACTGTTTTCTGTACATCTGCTACTATTTCTTTTAGTACTGGATCAAACTCTAGAAATGTATAATCAAGAGCAGGTTTGGGTGGTGGTGAGCAGGGTAGGTATTCTTGTACTTGGGAGTGGTGGTAATTGTGGGGAAATAAGCAATTTGTACAAGTTTGTTTATTGTTTATTTATCTGTTTAACACAGACCACAATTATTTGGGATGCCCACACTGGCGAAGCCAAGCAGCAGTTTCCATTTCATTCTGGTAAGTCTTGATTTCATCATTCAGATTTGTCATCTGAAAAGACAAAAAGCTGTTATTTTCAAAAATAAATTTAAAAATCTGATGTTTATGGTGCTTATTATTTGCATAATTTTAAAATCTTACAGGTAGTCTTTGGTTACTGAGTCCCATACTGGAATTTTGAGAATGTCAACAAAGATGGATTTGTTCTGATTTTATAACTCAGTTTTATTGCGGTTCCATGAAAGTCATAAGAGATAAATAATCCAAGTATTTCTGACTTTCTGTAGTATGGTGGCAGACAAATCATGTGAGTGGACCACAAGGGATTATTGTTTATCACCTAAGGACTGTGTTTGTCATCCTCCTGCTGCAGTGATCTCACCCCATATGCCATTGTTCCACTGTCTCCAGATTGGCCACAAACCAGCTGAAAGCTGTTCACTGGCCAGCTGGGGTGGGAGTGCAGGAGGTCAGACAAATTGCTTTGTGGGCTGCCTGCTGAGCAATCCTGTCAGAATCAGCTGGAAAACAGAATGGAGAAGATGACAGACGTGTCATTGAAGGGCCTTTAAGAAACGTGTCCTGGTCCATTCTTTATTCTGCTTGTGCCACATTTCCAGTGGCATGACAGCAGCCAAAAACATCAGCTCAGCATTTACTGCAAGCAGTTCATTCTGTGCCATCTGCCATAAATAAAATAGCTGGCTTGAGCAAATGGAACATGTTGCCCATGATTAAGCTTCAAGTTACCACACCTTAAAATGCTGGAATTGAGAAAGGAAATAAATCCTTACCCTTCCCTGGCTGCCATCCCTGAGCACGAGCAGATGTTGGTGGAGATGAGCTCATGCACGATGATGTGTGAAGTTGTGGGAACCTGTTCCTTGTGCTGCCTCCTGGATTTGTTTATAGATGCCTTAACTACAACTTGATGTCCTGCTGCACTGTCTTCTCTATAACTTTGATTACAAATATGTTCCATATTATGATGTCTGATATTAAATTTGTTCCACTCTGTGTAAGACTTGTTTTAGCTGTGTTTCTTACTGTTCATAGTGTTTATCTTCAGAACTGCTCTAAAATGACAATTGCTCTTTGTTGGCTTTTGTTCCAAGGTGGTGCATGCTAAATTTGCACATCAAATTCCTGCAGAGTGCATACTATAGCTTTAAATATCTTTCTTTTCCTTTTAGCACCAGCATTAGATGTTGATTGGCAGAGTAACAACACATTTGCCTCTTGCAGTACAGACATGTGTATTCACGTTTGTAAACTAGGACAAGATAGGCCCATCAAAACCTTCCAGGGTCACACAGTAAGTACTGCAAAAAAGGGGGTTGCTCTGTGATATTTTTATTAGTGAGAGGTTAGGGGCCCAGTAAACTTAACCAGTACCCAGCACCTGTGTAATGTTCATTGGCTACAGGCAGTAGATGCACACAAAGGTAGTTGTGGTTATAGTCTTATGGTAATCACAATCCTTGTGATTATCACAACAGTTCTCACCCCCGTGTGCAGCTTGTTTTACCAGTGCCAGGATGCAAGAGTGAGCTCTAGAAGAAGAAGCAGCATGATAACTTCAAGATTTTACCACATGGTGTACAAGAATGCATGGGAAGTGTGATAAATGGATAGCAAAAAGCTGTTGTTATTGAAGGCAAAGCTATGAACAAAAATTAAGTGTTAAAAGCCTGACAGCTATGCAAATGCTCATAACTGCTGTCCAGCTTTATCTTTTGTAAGTTGTCATTTATGATGGAAGGAAAGACTCCAACTTACTCTCACTGTTAACTTTTAGAATGAAGTAAATGCAATCAAATGGGATCCAACTGGTAATCTGCTGGCATCCTGCTCTGATGACATGACTCTAAAGGTAATGGGAGCTCTGGGGCTGGCCCTTGACTTTGTAGGACTCTGGAATGCAGTCCATTAGCCTGGATATTCCAGCAGTATCGCTGTGCTTGCTGTGTTGACCAATATTTGTTCTTTTTTTAATATAAAAAGGTTAGGCAATCCTAGAAATCCTTGTTAATCAGGTCCAAGCTTTGGTCCAGAGAACTTGTTACAGGCTGCCAGCCTGAGACTGGGAGCATGATTTATTAGGTGCTTTTAGCTGTTTACAGAATCAGGTCATTAATCGTTAAGCTGTCATGCTTGATGGTTGCTTTTGTTTAAAAGAAAAAGTTGGAATGCATGTCAGGTAGCACATACAAGAATGGGTAACTTGCTCCTTTCCTGGTTTTCTTCTGCTTTCCCCTTCTTTCTAGTTAAAATCTTTGGCATGTTGTTTCTTCCTGTGCACTCCTGGATTTTTCCAGTTCATCAGGAGTCATTTTGCAGTTTTCAATCACACCTACACTTGTCCTCCAAATCACTCACAGCTACTTGCTTTCCTGTAGAACAGGATCAAACTTGTGAGTGCAGAGGACACTGCAACTTGCACACATGACCTCAGGGCACTCTAGAGATGCTTACAAACCAGCAGAAATGAGGCTGTTCATGCCTGGCAGGCCTGTGCTGCTTCCATGGTACAGATGCTTTCCATTACTCCTGTACTGCTTTACATTCACTGGGATCTTCAGCACTGTGCTTGGTAGAGTTTCAGGATACATTTTTTACATTGACAGCACTGTCCTGCTAGTAACCCTTGGGACAGTTAATTCCATCCAGCTTACTGTTGTTTAATCAGGGAATGGTTGAATGAGTGAGTAGCCACATATCTCTCCTGTTGGCACACGGTCAGGCTCTGGCAAGGGAAATCACCTTATCTAAATACCAACACTTAAGCATTAAGCCTTCAGTCTAAAGCTGGATGTCTAGACATCTCCAGTCAGCACTGTCTAGCACTGCTGAAGAGCAAGTTATCCTTTCCTAAGTTAAATGTCTTAAGTCAAGTGTCATCAAAAAGGAATCCCTCTCAGGATCTCAGGAAACCCCTGAGAGCATCAGTTGTTCTCCACTGGCAGTGGACAGAGTCAAAATAGCCAGCTTAAGCCAGGTATTTAATACTTAAACAGCTCCAGGGTGATGGATTCCAGGCTAGAGCTGGAACTGTTGCTGCTGCCTCTCTGTGAGTAGAGGTGACAGCTGGGAATGTGTCAGCATTTGTGGGATTCCAGCAATTAACTTCTTGGTGGCTGTTTCAAATGGAGCCCAGGCTGCAAAGAATGTTATTGTTTTGTTCAGTATTAGCTCAAATGTCAAGTGCTGGAGGATAAGTCTACACATCACTAATCACTTGTGGATCACTTACTTTTCAATGGCAGAAGGAATAAATACCAGGTTTGGAAGCGCGTGGAAGGTCCCTAGTGATTTATTTACTTGGTTAGTTTCTATCTACAACTTAATGTTCTCTAGGGCAGCTGATAGGGACTCTCATCTATGTTAGTTTTGGGAAGAGAAGTTAGATTTTGATTCCTTCAATTAAAGTGGAAATACAATTTCAATTCTGTCTGCACATTGAAAATCAATTTCCTCTTCAGCAAAGCAGCAGTTCTGAAAAGCACCATTTATTTACACATGCACCTCAATTGCATCTTAAATACAGTTGAGCTTAAATATGCTCCTGGTAGCTTTCTCTAAAAGAAAAAGTGAACTAAAAGCATTACTGAGACACATATTATTAAAAATAGCATTCAGGTGGTTATCTGCCTTATCAAATTTAACATGTAGGAAAAGGTATAAAAGCCTTTCCAAATCCCTTCTGTAGAAGCAATGTAAACTCTTAATAGAATAAAGGGGTTGGGTTTTTTTTGTTGAGCATGATCTTAGAAGAGTTGGAGTCCTCTAATGACCTCTGTGAAGTACTGAACACTGAAATCTGGCAATGCAAATGCTAATAAGTCAGGAAAATGCCATAGTGGTATTTGTGTCTCTGTATTTTTAGGAAAACAGAAAATTTCTCTACTGTCCCTTTATTTTACTCAGTCTGTGTAGCAAGAAGTTAATTTAAAAATAGGAACGTGATATTTTATCAACTCAGACATGAACATTTACATATTGCTCTTCTCATTTCAGCATCTGCTTTCATCCCTGCACTTTTCAAGGGGTTTGCAGTTCCCTCAGGCAGTTTGGTTTCTACAGGCAGCACCTTTATTACTCATTGACCTTATTGGGGGCTTAAAACACAAAGAATGAAAGGTCCTGGAATAAAATTTGGCATAACTACTCTAGATACCTAGCAATCATAGAAAATATTTTGACTGGCCTAAAATGTAACAGCCTGCAAACGATGAAGAAGAAACATGTAAAATGTATTTTAGTACAATATTGTGCTAAATTATTTGTGTATTCCTCTCTTTTTATCATAGATCTGGAGTATGAAACAAGACAGTTGTGTCCATGATTTACAAGCACACAACAAAGAAATTTATACTATCAAATGGAGTCCTACAGGACCAGGAACAAATAATCCAAATGCCAATCTTATGTTAGCAAGGTACTATTTAATCCTGATTTTAAATGCTTATTAAACATTATTTTTACCTCACTTTTCTATAAATGTAAGTTCACAGAATGTTTTGAAGCATTTAAGATACTTTATCATATTCTGTTTGTATTAGCAACAAAAATATGTTTACTTGAGGTGTAATTAATCTGTTTTTTTTCTTGACAGCGCATCCTTTGATTCTACTGTTAGGTTATGGGATGTAGACAGAGGAATTTGTATTCATACTCTGACAAAACATCAAGAACCTGTGTACAGTGTAGCTTTCAGTCCTGATGGCAGGTACCTGGCCAGTGGCTCCTTTGATAAATGTGTACACATCTGGAATACACAGGTATTGCTCTTCTCTGTGTTGAGAAGTTTGTGTTTTGGTCTTTTCCATCCTTTCAACCTTTGTTTATCCATCATACTTAAGCCACAATGAGATTTGTCATTCTTAACACACTGGTTTTCTCTTTGTTCTGAGATTATTTCTTTTAATGGTTGTACATTTAATTTCTCACTTTGAATGCTTGCCTGTGGTGAAGTAATACTTGTCTTTACATTGTCTTATCAAAAAAAAACAACCCAAAAAGACAAAAACCAAACAAACCAAAAACTCACTGACAAAACTCCAAATTGAACAAAGTTCCTCCAAGAACATATTTCATCCAAAAATAGTCTCTGTTAACTCTGAACTTCAAATTCCTGCTAAAACAGGGGCTTTTGTGAAAAATGATGACTGGGTGTAGACATACTAATCTGATTGGCTGTTTCATTGAATTTCACTGACAAACAAGAGAATGCAAAGTGAGGGAAGATAATGATGAGAAAGTATTTCTGTGAAACTTTCTCATAAAGGACACTATTACTTGTTTTGTATTTCTGCCAAAAAATAAGAGATTGCTATGTTTGAAACTCTAAAGACCTTGTCAGGCATGATGCAATCTCTGGCTTCTGGGCATTGGGTATTAATTTCTGAAAGGCTCATTTCAGTAATTGGAAGTAGTTGTGACCATCCCAGCTTTGCCTGTCAAGCACAGGAGCTCAAGGTGAAATGGTTGTGCCACATTGTTTAACGAGATGCTGAGACTGTCCACAATCTCTTCTGGACCACTTTCCTCTGAGAATTTCAGCTTTTAAAAGCAGTGGGGAAGTTTTCAATGTACAAACTGTGCTTGTTCACTTTGATTTTGTTGTATTAATTACTTGCCTTGTCCCTTTTTTAGACAGGTGCCCTAGTTCACAGTTATCGGGGAACAGGAGGGATTTTTGAGGTTTGCTGGAATGCAGCAGGAGACAAAGTTGGAGCAAGTGCTTCAGATGGTTCAGTAAGTGTTGCTTGACTTGGTGGGTGTTCTAATAATAAACATCTTTTGGAAATCTTTTAACCAACAATGGAGACAAAATTTCCTTCTCTAGCTGAAGGTTGAATGCAACCAGCTCACCTGTATGTTTTCAACTGTGGTGAAGCTGCTGTGGTATTGTAAGAAGAATATTTTTATTCCAGTCCAAAAAGCTCAGAAGGTAGAGATATCTCCAATTAATATTTTCTGTTCCTTCTCAGGCCTACTGGGTCAGTGTGTTCAGTGTGGCTGGTTTGGAAACAAATTTGTTTTTCTTTCTATGCTCTTTTTGAGGGAAAATGCTCAGCGTAGGTGATATTATAATGCATGACAGGAGTGAAATACCTTCTGCATTGCATTCAACAGCCAAACAAAGTGCAGATTTCTAAATGCTTGTAATTAAAAAGTTCCTAAAAATGTCAGCAGCTATATATAAATATCAGTCTGCTTACTTTGCCTAGGAAGAGCAGGGAATAAAATCATGTTTAACTAATCATGAATGCTCCCACTGTCATTTCACTGCAGGGTGTTGGAGCATCACCTCCTGGCTGCTCTGACACTGTCCTGCAGAGCTGCAGTGGGATGGGAATGTGCAGGGTCATCATAAGGAGCACAGTCCTGGGGCTTTTGCTTGCCTCTGTCTCTCCACGGTTTGCAAAGAAAGCAGAGGAGAGCCTAAGGAAAAGCAAAATTAACATAAGGCTGATAAGGGAATTGTGTTTTGAAGTGCTGTAGCTTCCTTGAACAAACGTCAGCAAAAAGCAATCCTGGCAGCTCAGTAGTGCAGTCTCAGGTGGTATCTTAACACAGGTGCCAAAGCATTCCCTTCTGAGTGCTCCTTGCTGGTAAGTAAGAGTTAGAGGTGTTAGAGTTCAAATCACAAAATAGGAAGTTCTAGATTTGAAGAAGCCTAAATGCTAGAGAATTAATTTTGATTGGTCTTAATATAACTTTAGTCTTGTAAGTATAGGCAATATCATAAAAGGACAAAAGCTCAAGGCATATCCTGAATAGAAATTAATTATCACTCCCCCAGATGACCCTTTTTTATACATACTGTGTAACTTTTCCAGTCCTTCAATTAATTTGGCCCAAGAGGCTGATTGTACTTGGAATAGATTTGTTTTCATTTAGTTTCTGATATTTTAAAAAATGTTTGGCTTAATTTGTTCTCTATTGTTCTCTAGCAAAAGCCCTTCTCCTCCACTCTGTTTAAAATGTGCTTGCAGCTGGTATTGTCTTGTGTGTGGTTCTATTTTACTAATAGATTTCTATATCTGACAGACCCAGAAGCACTACTTGGTGGAGATTTTGGGAAGAGTAAAACTGGAATTTGTACACCATTAACTGTTTTTTCTGATCTATTTAGTTGTTGTCCATGTACTTTAATTTCATTTTATTTTTTTACAAACTAGAATAAGTTCTCAGCCTCACAGTATTAAATATGTAAGCAAACAGCTTACATAAGATGTTGCTGTTCTGATAATAATTCTGGAGGCAGCAGTGCCCTTAGCACTGGGGCTGGCTGGGGGTTCATAAAGGGCTCACCTGGTCATTTTGATATTATTTAATCATTGTTAATAGATATAAGGTTAAGCTTATACATAGGTTTTGCCCTGAAACTCCACACAGAATATAAAGGCCCTGGTGCTGTGCAGCTGCTGTATCTGTGTCTCTCTCTTTGCAGGTTTGTGTATTAGACCTCCGGAAATAGCGCTCTTAGTTGGAAGCCATGGACCGACTATGAATGTGTACATAGCCAAAATGACTGTCCCTGACCCATGTACTGCTATAGTCCCAATCGAACCATGGCCAGTCCACTACAGCCAAATGTAAAAGAAATATATACATATACTGTATATAAAAAAAGAAAAAAAGGAGAAAAGAAAAAAAAAAAAAAAAAAAAAAGAGGAGAAAAAAAAAATTTACACCCTGAAGAGGATGACAGAGTTTTGTCACAGCTTGTGAATCCTGTTCACCAAGTGCTGGAATCTGCTGTGCCCCAAAATAACATTTAAAGGTTTTGGATATGAAAAACAGAAGAGCACGAGAGAGAGAGAGAGAAATATACCATATACAAGAGCAGACCCATATACATACCAAAATCAGAAGATACTAATGGCAGCCTTCATTACCCCTTCCCCCATGAAATCCATTCTCACGTGGATTGTGGGGTATTTTTGTTTTCCTTCTCAGTAGTTGAACAGTTTGTGTGTACAGAGAAAATGGACTTAACAGAAATCTGCAGCAGTAGGTTTTTTTCTTTGCTTTTAAACATTGGGTTTTCTGTTTTGTTTTGGTTAAATTTACGGATGCATGAAGTAAGGGAGTGATTTAGTTTCTTGTTTATATTTTTTCACCTTGGGAAAAAAAAAGAAAAAAAAAAGAGTTTCTTTGAAACATGTTTCGATGAATTCTTTGAAGAGGTAGTTTGAACCTGATAATACTTGGTACATTTTGTGGCTCCCAGAGCACAATTTTGTGAACAGAGGGAGGGTGGAAAAGGGATTAGGGAGAGAGAAGAAAAAAAAAATCCTTCTTTGCAGCGTGATACTTCACATCCTCATCTACAAAGTAGGATGGAAATGGGTATTGTGCTATGTTTGACTTTTTGGTGACATGGCTGAAATGCAGTAATTTCTTATTTGGGACATAATTCTGCCAAACTTAAGAACAGAAGGGCACAAAAACACAGGAAAAAAAACCTAAAACAAACAGGGATGCAAAAAAAAAAAAAATAGAGGAAAAACGCATCTTCTGTTGCTTTAAGACCATAGCTAAAATATGGTTCAATTGTGCACTATTGTGAAAAGGAGCAAAGTATAGCTGGGGGATTTTGTTTAAGAGGTTAAGATCTTTCTGGACAAGGGTTCATGCCACAGCTTCGTTGAGAGTTGCCCATCATTATTTGTAGGAGCTTAGATGTATAATTGTAACCAAACTCCAGTATTAAAAGTATTTCATGTAATTTTTCTTTATTAAAATAAAATCTTTGGCATATATTTGATAACACTGCCATTAAGAGGCAAAATGTTTACTACCTTAGATTTAAAAAAAAAAATCTTAAACAGAGGACTTGCTTCAAGTTTATTTTAATAGCAGTGATTCAGCTTATTTAAAAGATGAATACTTGCACTAATTCCCCTGCTGCTCCGGTCCTGCAGTTTATTGTATCTTGTGACTACATTTTTCTCCAAATATAGGGTAGATGTAAGCTGCTATTTTTTTAATAATCACTACTATATAGTGTCTTTTACTCTGTTTACAATATCAAGTATTTTTCTTACAATGACAGATGTATATGGCAAACCTTTTTCTGCTCATGTGATTAAAAGTATACTAATAGTGATTTTATTTGTAAATGATAGCATGAGGTTGTGTTTATGCGTATGTGTAGTTGAAGAGGTTGCATCATGTCTTGCATAAGATTCCAAGAGTGTAAATTTATAAAAAGAGAGGTTGTCAAATTTATGTCACAGACATTTTACTTAAGGAATGGTTTATATTACAGAGCTTTGCAAAGTTATCGGTTTTATAACACTATTTCAATCACAATTAATTTTGTGGCTTATGATTGTTAGTCTCTAAACTATTTTTTTATTCGTTTGGGGTTTTTTTTCCCCCTCCAAGTGAAGTATGAATTCATTTAATTGAGATAATGCAGCTTTGACATTTTAACCGTTGTTCATTAGGCATTGATTTCTGCTATTTCCATGAAATAAACACGACTTGAAGCAAGTCTGAGTTTGGCTAAGGTAGGGTAGCAATTTGCCAGTGGTAAAGACAAGTCAACAATACATTGTTTATCTACCCCCCAGGATTATACTGCTATCACACACAGCGTTTAAAACCAACACCAAGTCATATCCATACAGACAGTTATCCGTGGTGGTTCTGTGCCAGCTATTTTTAGGGTTTTGGAACATATTGCAAATGTTTAGAGCAATTACGCTGTGAGTTACAATATGTAGGAAACCTAATATATTGAGTGTCTGGCACTTGAAATATTGCTTTTATTGCTGGAGGTCCATGACTGTGGCTGACCTCTGTCATTTAATGAAAAAAAAAAATAAAAATAAAAAAAAAATTCTGTGCAATAATTTTAAACTGTGCTCCCAGGAATAGACACAAATGTTTTGAGTATGTTTAAGCTGCATTTTTCGTTTAGCAATGCATTTGTCAATTGCACTGAATTTAAATCCTGAAAGTCAGAAGTGATTCTTGATAGTACTTTTGTATTTTAATATGGACAGTTTATTCATTTTCATAAAAGTTATTGGATTATTCTTTCAGCCAATCTAAACAATTGTGGTGGAATTCCGTGACATAGCTGCAAAATCACACAGCCATGTTTTAGGGTATTGCCATTTTCCTCTTTCTCAATCATCAGCTGTTTTGGTTGTAATTCTAATTGCTTCAGCATAGCATCACACACACTCAGAAATAGAGAACAGCAGAGCTTCAGCACGTCCAGGCCGGGGCTGTCAGCTGTGGGTCCGGCAGGAACGCCGGCTCCCTTGGCTCGAGGGCTCCGGGCACGCGGGCAGAGCCCTGCCCCAGCGGGGGCCAGCGGTGCCCGCTGCCCTGGGGCCAGGCCACGTCCCCGAGCCGAGGTCTGGCCCATAGCTGTCCAGCTGTCCTGCCCGCTGCCCTGGGGCCAGGCCACGTCCCCGAGCCGAGGTCTGGCCCATAGCTGTCCAGCTGTCCTGCCCGCTGCCCTGGGGCCAGGCCACGTCCCCGAGCCAGCATCCCCGAGCTGAGGTCCGGCCGTAGCTGTCCAGCTGTCCTGCCTCGCATGCCACAGTGCTGCTCCTGCTCCCGCGCTCCGCACGCCCGGAGCCGCCGCGTGCCGGCCGCGCCGCGCGCTGCCAACCACAAACCGGACAAAACCACACAGAACCGTGATGTTCATTCCTGTCTTGCATAGCACAGAGGCCTTGTGTTCCAGGCTGGGGTGCACTGTCCAAACTGCTCCTTTCAAAGGGGAAGCCAAAGGGCAGCAAGGCCCTGACTTTGTGTAGCGTGTACGTACATGCTCAGTCTTACAATTGGAGTCATTCCTATTTTTATCAGTTCAACGCGGTAACAGGCAAATATCCCAACAGAGGATAAAAGGAAGGGGAAAAGCTGGGCTCAGAATTAATGATGGGATAAGAAATGAACTGCTCTTGAGTTCGCTGTCTCTCTGTGCGTCCATCTCAGTATCCCGTTTCTCATTTTTGCATGACCGGATCCAGGTTTCTGTAGAGTTCGTCTTTTTCTATTTTTACTTTACCTTTTTCTGCATTTTTAAATTGATGTAAAGATTCCCAACCAGTGGACTTTTTAGTGTAGTTAAGAGAATATCTAGGTCTTCATAAAAGCTTTTTTAGACTCTTTGTAATGTTGGTAAACTGAGTTTATTCTGGGACTACCATTGTGCAGGGTTATTTAGCATGTCTACTAGATGATTGGAAATCTTATATGAAACACTAAAAGTGCCTCTTTTTCTGGGTTGGGTGGAGGGGAGGTAGTAGTTACCAGAGTCAGAACGACATGGCATTTCAAAGCATGTTTCTTGATTTCGTGACACTTTAATGCATCTTGAGAGAAAGGCCAAAGATTTCTACCGATTTTAATTGATTTTCATTTTAAAAAGCACTCCTTTTTCCTTACACTGCTTACCTCATGCTAGGGCGTCTGATGGGGCGTTGTACCTTGGGCATGTCCTTTGTGTTTAGGGAGAGCAGTGGGTGCCGCTTTGCCAGCAGAGCGAGCTCAGCAGCTGACGCGTTCAGTTCTGCTGCGGGAAGGAGCTTTGTTACCACTACAGACTGGGGGCTGCAGCCTGTCAATGCAAGGTTGTCTGGTTTTGTCTGTTTAGCGAAAGAGGGGAGCCCTGGGACCTGATTTTTCCAGTATTTACTTCACCAGAAATCCCACTGTCTGTCACTTCACGAGGAGCCCGTGCCGGGGCGAGCGCTGGAGGCGCCGGGGCTGTGCTGAACCCCGGTGTGGATAAAATGAGCCACATCCCCCTCGAGCCGAGGGTCCCCAGTGTCCCTGGGGTTTTGCCAGAGCAGGGCATGCCAGATTTAGCCCAGTTCCTTTTCATCTGAAGAGCAGGATAGCTCCTCCCTTCCCAAAGCCCTGTAGAGCCATTCCCCAGTGGGATCACTTCCACCCTCTCCAGACGCCTGAAGAAAGCAGAAGCAACATTGTGGCATGTTAGAAGCAAACACGGCTTCGGGAGACAGCAGTAAATCTCCATCAAGATCCCTGACATTTTCCGTAGGGAGAGAGACATGGAGCAGTCCTCACTTCTCCCTCTAGAGAAAGCTCTGAAATACCACGAGCTGTGAAAGTGTGACTGTCTTCACTGTCAGTCTGGTGGGAGGCAGACGAACCAGGAAAATCTGCCGTTTCGAGTGGATTGCAGATTTAGTGTTAATAGTGCTTCAGATCAGTAGTTTTGAGTACATAATTCGCTTTCTCTGCCCTTAAGTTTGAAGCTTGACAATAACCTGAGGCATGTTTTTGTTTTGTTTTGTTTTTTATTTTTAAATAATCATTCATTTTTACTTCATAATGTTTTTTGACATTTGTGGGTAAATACAAGAAAACAGTCTGCATGTTGTTGCTAGTCCAGTGTACTTTGCAATCTTGTCCTCAACAGACTGCAGTGTGCAGAACAGTAATTCTAGAATACAGAAGTAATTTTCTCTCTCTCCTGACATTGACATTGTAGTTGTAATGGTTTCATTTGGAGTTACAAATCCTTTGGGTCTAATTCTGTGAGCCTACCTATAGCACTGGATTAAAATGTCTGCATCATTTCTTCAGTTATCCAGTTAAACTACAACTGTTGTAAAAGTGTAAACCAGCCCATGACAGTTTTTTGTACTTGTTTAAAGGACTTTTATTGTTCAGTTTTCATGATTATTGTCTAAAGAAGACTGATATAGATGTTCTATACTGTCCTGGACCATGTTAATTACACTTTATGATGTATTTTGGTTCTACATCACAATGATTTGTCCCCAAGGCCCTTATATCCCTTCTAGGCACATTTTCTGTTGCAGTTTCCCTTTGCATTGTATTGCTTTGACAACTGTAATTTGAATCAGATCTGAAAGAGGTCCAGAATAAAATATATTTTGATATTACCTTGGCTGAATGTTTTATACCAATGATTTTAAACACTTGGGATGGAAGGTTTGCAGATCATTAAGCTGGGGAAGTGACAGACTGAAACACTATTTTTAATGTTTAGTTTGGCACATTTTCACGTAAGACAAGGTGCAAACAGCAGCAGGAGGTAAAGCAGTGTGTGGCTGCAGCATCTTTGGGCTCACATAGATCCTGTGATGGTGACACCGTCCCCTGTCACCATGTCCTGCTGTTCCATTCAGGGGAACTGATTTATTTTGTGTTTTACATGCTCCATCTTCCCCTCACCCCTGCACCTGTGGAACAGAAGAGTCCAGTGGTGCTTGCAGCTGCAGCCCAGAAGATTCTGGAGGCGTGGGAGCAGCTCCTTCCCGGTGATGGAATCTCATGTCAGGGAGATCTGGTGTTACAGAGCGACTCAGTTTGGCTGTGCAGAGCAACATTGTTTGTGTAACTTATTTCAGATGTGTGAAACCACTGAGATTCACGTGTGAAATACCATACATGCATCATGTGTATAATGATCTAATTCCTTTAGAATTGTGGGTCATGTCATAGTCCAAGTGAGGGAACCCAGACAGTTCCTTTTCAATGTGTCTAGAACTTCATGGTGAAATAGCTGCTTTCTCTTGTAGATTGCTGGTTTGTTCTATAGTAGCCTTCTGCTATCAAAATTGATTCCAATATTTTGAAACTTGCTGTTGAAAAGAGCCTGTAATGAATTGAAAACAGAGGAGGGACTGTTTTACAAGTGTAAAACCAGTCTTGCCTTCCCTTCACATGGAGTCTGAGTGCATTGCAGGATTTCTGCATCACCTGGATTTTGAGACAGCAGTGTTGGAGCAGTTTCATGGTTCTGAGACAGGCTGTGAGTTGATATTTCATTAGTTACAAGTGCAAGAACCACAGAGCAGTGTTGTGTTATGTACAAATTGCTTTCACATGGTAGTGATGGCCAGATCCATCCTGTGAAGAGGAGACAGCATTCCAGGTAGGTGCCTTATTCCACTGCTTCCCAAATCTTCCCTTTGGACTTCAGTTAGAGCCTGATTCTTATAACTCTGTAGGAGCTTGTGGTCTCAGGTATTTATAAAGTCTGTGTTCTCTACCTCCCAGGGAAATGATTTAATGGAAGTTGAAGCAATATCTCTGGTTTGCTGATGTCAGCACAGGGCAGCTGTAATGGAATAATAATTTGGGAGGAATTTATTGA